AGGGGAGGCTCTGGGAACTGAGGAAGGGCCATCTCATTGATGAAAGCTTCCACGACTGGCATGTGTCAACACACTGTGGTTGTGCAGTGGAAACAAGACACTAAAGTCAGCACACACGTGTGTCTGGAAGGGCCGTTCCACTGCAGCTGATGCTGCGTATGACATGCCTGGGAAAACAGAACAACAGCTTGCATTGAGAGCATTCACAGGAGAAGAAGACCCTGCATGCTGTGCAAACCAAAGCCTTGCATTCTTCAATTCCAAAGAACACTTTGTGCTTTTAATCTCAAGCACACCCAGTGGGATACTGTATGGTTTCTCCTCCTGTCATTATCAGGAAATCAATTGTTTCTATGTTGGGAATGCTTCCTTCTCATAAATTTCCTCAGGAATTCCATTCCTTTGCACAAGGAAGATATTTTGGAAAGCTGCAAAAGATGACATTAGAAAGGCATCCTTAACTTTATAGATCTGGCAAATCCCTTAAGAGACTTTAAAAATAAATATTACCTACTTGAAAGTTGAACCAAGGACATGACTCAACTTCGGGGGAAAGAACCAATGAGAACTCCAAAAAATCAGAGACCAGAAATTCAGAGAGCTTCACATATGTTCTCAAGGAACTTGTAGTTGAACACATTGCCTACGTGAGTCTTGGGCAAAGGTGTTCTGAACTTCATGGACCAGAAGATACTATCTCTTCATTTCACTAACACTCACATTTTGGATATATTAATCTCAGTCACAAGACAGGACCCAGTTGTCACTTGTCATGATCTAATAGATGAGTGTTCTCAGTACTTACAAAGGAAAGCTGCATGTCTGCAGCATTAACAATTTTAAACAAACATGGGGAACAAAAATTTGAACACACATAGAATCAGATCAACTCACAGAATAACCTCATAAGTAAGGCATGAGGAGCATGTATTTAAATTACATAGGCAGCTAAAGGAATCCCGTGGCAAAGGAGGAAAGAAGGAAAATAAGTGTTGAAGCTCAAATCCACCTCTCTTCTGTATTTGTGTTGTAAGCATTGCCAAGTATTTAAACAGGATCATCCTTCCAACTCCTTTACATCCCTTTATCTACCATATTACAGAAAATAAGGACAATAAGAAAAATGAAGGCCTGAGCAGAATACAAGGAACAATACATTTGAGAACTGTATTTCCTATGTGAGTTAGCTGTGTCTAAGCCACTTCTACACTGAACCAGCTATGCTAATGTCACTGTGGAGCTGATGGCGACGATCCTAATGATGTTGTAAATGGTGGTAACAGTGAAAAATTTGTTGTTACTGAGATGGAGGTGTTGGACATGGATACGATGGTCTTGGTGGGTGTATGGTCATAGTATGGGCAATGATTGGCAGATGATGATGGACGTACCACTGCTGGTGGTGATAGGCATGACAGTTGGCAAGGTAGAAATGAAGACAATCAGCAGTTGCTACTTATTTAGTTCTAAATTATTGTCTGGCATTGTGCCCATAAAATTTATTCCATTTTTGGCAAAGGCAAATCATTGATATATTTACAAGTTTTGTTGTCTAACATCAAAAATAAAACATGGCCAGCATTCCTAGTTTTCAGAAAAATACAGGCTAGCCGCAATTGAATTCCACTGCTCCATTTATTACCATCAAAATAATAAAAATTCCTATTAAAGAAATATAACACAATATATAGATATATGTGATATAGAGGAAAAGAAACCCATATACACTGCCCATGAGAGAGTAAATTAATTGGTCCAGTATGAAAATCAGTATGAAGTTTTCTCCTAACAAACAACAATAAAAGCAGAACAAACATAACATTGCATAAAAGACTTGGGTTTGTATATACAGAGGTCAAATAGAACATACCTTAGATATCTGTATGTCCAAATTTATTACACCACAGCTCACAATATGCAAGTGAGTAACCAGAATAGGTGTTCATCAGTGGATGACTGGATTAAGAAAATATGACATATATACATACCAGGGTAATATTTATTTATAAAGAACAATAATACAATGTCCTACTCATGCAAATTGATATAACTACATATCATCTTGCAAAGAAAAATAGCATTCTAAATTACAAGATAGGCATGTTGTTTTAAATGTAAAATCAGAACTAATGAACAAGTATACATTAATGTATATGTGTAACTATTAGGGCAGTGTAAGGGATCAAGTGAGAGCAAAATATGAGGGATGTATGTAAAACATACGATCTTAGAAGTACATGAATAATTGAAGAACACACTATCTTCTTAAGTTAGCATGTGACAATTGAAGAGATTGCAGTATGTAAAGCGAATAGTATGATCCTTAAGCAATCAAACACTACGTAATATATGTTATGATCCAAATGCAGTCAAAACACAAATGCTACAGATAGCCATGTGATAGGCAAAAAGGAATACGAGCATGGCATAAAGCAAGTTTTAGAAGAAAAGACAGAAATACAATCAAGATTGCAATTTGTTTAGGTAATAAAACAATAATGACAAACAAAAATGCCCTACTATGGTGACAGAGATTTGGAAATCATGCTCTGAGGACACTGAGGGTACATCTGCTGGTCTTTTCTCTGATTATCTGAGATACTGAACCACAACAGGATCATTCTCAGTGGCCCCATAACAGCCTCATGGAAAAGCCTCCCATTTTAGGGGAACTAACAGGCACATAGAGGGTGGAGGGTAGAGATCATAATCTATAAAGAATTTTGAATAGAAAATGGAGTTGTTGCTATAGATATAGATGAGATGGATTCTCTTCTCTTGGTCCTGGTGACTGCTGAAGCCCTGACTTGCTCTTGGGTGAGCACTTCTGCTGGCAGGGTGGAGGAGGCTGCACAGGGGGAAAGTTAAGCTGGCATGGCTGAGGGGTCATGACTCAGGACACTGCGGAATATGTTAAGGCTCTGGGTACTGTGGAGGTAGAGAAGGCTCAGGGCACTGAGGGCCAAGACAGGACTCTGGGCATATTGGAGGAAGACAGGGCTCTGGACACTTTGTGGGTGGGCACACGGAAGGTGGCTGGCAGGGCTGTTTGCACTGTTATTGTTGGTAAGACTTCGTGCTGAAGTCTCAGGATCTGAAAGACATTACATTACATTGTTAGGGGTGATTCACATAAAGAAGGCGGATGGAGACATGGTACATCACATCCATTTCTTTCTCCACACATGCACACTACAGTTTTAGGACAGCCTGGCTTTTCACTTTCCTGTTAGCAATCTGTGACTCTAGCCTTGGGAAATAACCTTTGTTTCATTCCAGCCAAAAAAAAAAAAAACACCTTATTTCAGCAAAACAAGTAAGGTTAATTTCACACAGAAATTCATTTGAGGCAGACAGTCTCAAGTTCTGGAACCCTGAGCAATTTGAGAACCCATCCCTGTCTCTCCAGTCACTTGTGACATCCCAGCAGGTTGACTGGAGTTACAGAATAAAGAACAGCTCAGAAATGTCCCAGATCCTAATAGCTGCTAATGTATAGGGCTCTGAAAAGAACACCAAATGACACACATGAAAGAGAAAAATACTCTGTTCAACCACTGCCCAAATAAAAGGAAAAGCCACCTTTCACAGTGGACCATTGTATCCATTGCTATATTTCCGATTGCTAAGATGTTGCTGTTCATCTCATGAATACAACTGGACTCAACACACTTAGTCCCTCAAAACTGACTGGAGCACATAAGCAGACCATAAAGACAGACCAACCCAAGAAACACTCACCAGGATCTCCAAAGGAGTCCAGGACTTGAGCACCAGGATTCTGCTGTCACACAGTCAAGGACTGCAATAGAGAACTTGAAATCAAACTTACACCAGAAGACCATTCTTTTTATGTAAGAAAGAGACAATCAAAATAATAACATGTCCTGGCAGAGGAGTGAAAGAAATATAATAGAAAATGTCAGACTGTGAGAGAGTAGAATAACCCATCAAATATGGAACTCAGTGTGGGGTTTTTACCAAAGAAATAACATCATATGATTCACCAGCATTACCTGGGTTCATATGAAAAGAAGTCAAATATAGAGTACAATACAGATGCCTGCATATCCATCTATATTTCAGAACTACACCTAATAATGAGAGTTAAATATTCGGTCTCATGACTCAACAGTGAATGAATGGGATAAAGAAAATATGGCACTAAAATGAATCTTAAGGAGCAATAATATCATGCCCTCTGCAAGCAAATAAATGCAACTGAATGTCATCATGTTAAGAAATAAGACAAAATACAGTCTTAAATACAAGGTTGGAACCAAAGTTTCAAATATTGAAGGAGGAAAAGATATCAAGGATAGGATGATGTAGATGTGTAACTATTACATCAGATGAAGGAGACAAGTGAGAAGAAAATACATGGGGGTGTAGGGAGAAGATGTGTCCTAAGTGACGCATGCATATCTGCGTATAGCATAATCTTAATATATCATGGGCTAAAAAAGAGATCATAGTTTTGCAAAATGAAATTATGTTTCTTTCAAGCAAACAAGCTCTAAGTAATCTTTTTTATGACCCCAAAAGCAGTCAAAACCTGATTACAGTAAAATAACCTGGGGATCAAAGAATAAAAATTAAGGAACAGGAGCATATCAGGAAGGTCATAGATTCGGTTTTAGGAAAAAGGAACACATAAGCACTATCAACCAGATTGTACTTTATTCAGGAAATGAAGCCACAGTGACAACCACACAAACAAGGACTGAGAGTTTTGGAAACATCCTGTGAGTGCACAGGGTGGGAAGATGCTGCTCAACAATGAGCATCTGGGACACTGAACCAGTGAGGAGGGACCATTCTCAGCCACCCCTTATAGCAGAAGCTGAACAGTCTCAGGGGAATGCGTTCTCTATGAGGGGATATCACAGATACATGGAGAAAGAAGGGACAAGATTCTCTTGCATCCATGGCAGGCTTTGAACTTTCTCCTCCTTCTTGGTTTCCTCCTCTTCTCTTGGTCCTGGTGACTGCTGAAGCACTCACTTGTTCTTGGGTGGGCACTTCTGTTGGCAGGGTGAAGGAGGTTGCACAGGAGGGCATTTCTGCTGGCATGGCTGAGGGGGGCATGGGTCAGGGCACTTTGGAGGAGAACAAGGCTCTGGGCACGTTGGGGAAGGACAAGGTTCAGGGCACTTTGGAGGAGGACGAGGCTCTGAGTACTTTGTAGGAGGACAAGGCTCTGGGTACTTTGGAGGTGGGCACACAGGAGGAGGCTGGCAGGGCTGCTTGCACTGCTGCTCTTGGTAAGACATCGTGCTGAAGTCTCGGGATCTGAAAGACATTACATGACAGTGTTAGGGATGATCATCACAGAGAGGAGAGATGGAGACATGGAGCATCACATCCATTTCTTTCTCCACACATGCACATCTCCCCAAGCCCCGTTTAAGGAAAGACCGACTTTTCCCTTTGTCAGCCATCTGTGCCTCCTGGCTTGTGAGATATTCTTTGTTTGATGCCTTTTTCCAGGAGAAAATATTTCTTCCAATGAAACAAATGTGTTTCACGGAGAAACGTCTTCAATGAAGAAAGTCTCAAGGTCTGATGACCTGAACAACCTCAGAATGATTATCCCTGACTCTCCTGTCACTGTGACATCTCAGCAGATTTTCTGGGAGACAGAGTAAGGGACAGCTCAGGGAAACCAGGTTTTAATACCTGCTAATTCATAGGACTATAAAAAGACACCAAAGATGCACATGAAAGAGAAATACACTGTGTTCAATCGCATACTAAAGAAAAGAAAAAGCCACCACACACTGTACCTAAAACTTGACTGCACCACATAAGCAGACCATAAAGACAGACCAACTCAAGAAATAACACTCACCAGTAGTCTAGGACTTGATTACCAGGAGTCTGCAGTCATGCAGCCAAGGACCTCTTTATAGCACTGACTGCCCCACCCAGAGGGAGTAGAGCTGACTGACAGTGGGCAGGTTCTTGAATTTCCTAAGCCAAATGCAAATCCATGCATGACTCTCTTGACTGGGACTCTACATCATGTGAAATATCCTGTGTCTGGACATCATCACTGTAGAGTGCTGTGACTCAGTGGGCCCTCCTGTCTCTTTGGTTTCAGCCAGAGTTCCCTGGTTGTCCAAGTTGTCTTTCTTGATTGAAGACAGTATTTCTTTTCCCTGTTACTCCTCTCATTTCCTGTTTGTTATATCTCAGCACACTGATACTCTTTGGTGCACTGGCCCACTTATATTCCTGCTTTTAGGCAAAATTTGCCTGTGTGTTGCAAGAAGGACAGATTTACATGGGAGGTTAGCTGTGCTTTCAGGTTCGTCTTTGAGAAGTCTGTTCCACGAGACAGGTCTGGTCTGCTGGATAGGTTTAAAACTTTTCTGTAGCAATAGGAAATAAAATATGCTGTTCATAGGGAAGGGTGTTGGGCTTGGACCTTATCCTGACCCTAGTCAGGACTGCTGTCTCCAACGACATATTTGGGGTATATATTTAGACTCCCCTCTAATGATTTTCATAAGGCTGTTTATCAAGATGATAGAGGAACTAAAATCATACCAACACTAACACCTGCCCTAAGCGTGTTCATGCTTAGGTGGTCAGCATGAAGACTCATATTCTCCCACACTTCTCTTGTGTGAAGAGCTGTTGAGCTCACCTTGGTTGTGGTACACACCAACTGGAGCTCTGAGATCTCCCAAAACACATAGTATACTGACTCCTTCATATATAACACATATGTTCTTTCTTGCACATGAACACAGACAGACAGACAGACAGAGACAGATAGGCAGAGCATCAGTCTTACCTTTTTATCTGCCACGTAGCAGCATTCATCACTTCCTGATTTTCTAATGTACATTAATGATTCATTGCTGCATGAAAACTGACAGAAGGAATTAAAATTGGGTGTTTTTGTAGTTCTTGATTGACTTTTGAACACTTGGATGGAGGTTAAGGCTCTGTTTGTGTTGGAGGAGGACAGGGCTCTGGGCACTTTGTGGGTGGGCACATAGGAAGAGGCTCACAGGACTGCTTGCACTGCTGCTGTTGGTAAGATTGTGCTGAAGTCTCAGGATCTGAAAGATGCTATGTGCCAATTCTCACAAGAGTTGATCCCCACAGAGAAAAAAATCTCAAGCTTATGAGCTATCAGAACTCTTCCTGAATCCCGTGTCCTCCTCCAGACTTCCTAACTTTCCCTTCCATGTCACCATTTTGTTTCATTAACCTAGAAAACCAACCTTTTTCTTCACATTTTCTGTGAGAAAACATCTTTCTTCCAAAGGACAGAGTACGTGAACTTGCAGAAAACATCATCTTCAAGAAGGACAGTCTGAAGTTTAAGTTCTAAAATACTGAGCGACCTCAGTGATGACTGTAACTGCTCTCATGATTATACTCAGGATGTCCCACGAAGTACACAAGGGTATAAATCAACACCAAGAATTCAAGAATCTAGAACCTTCTAAGAAGGGGGAAAACAAGAGTTCAGAAAAGAGAAAAGGATTCTCTTCAGTCCTCGAAAGTTGCTTTATATTTGGAGAAGCAAAAACAGAATGAGGAACATAAAACAAGGCCATTAACTAGTCACAATTCTTCTCTGAAAAGCACACAGGTACTGAATCAAACTCAGTGAAGCATGTCAGCTTCCTGTGACTGTCAGGGCCTTTCAGAATGAGGAACAATTTAGCTAAGAATGTAATTGTCCATGTTCCTGAAGGGAAAGAGTCAGTTCTGAGGCCATGTGACAGAAGAAACAGGACACAGAGGTGTAACAGGGAAAAGAAATACTGTCTTCAATCAAGAAAAACAACTTAGACAATAATGGAAGTCTTGCTGAGACCAAAACACCACCAGTGTTCATAAAGTTTAGGACACATACCATAGGGCCAGGTCAGTAGGAGACTCAGTACTCTCCATGTTTGCATATCACATGTAAAGAATAATCTTAAGCAATGTCTGACTTCAGCCATACCAAGTTACAAAATTGCACAGTGACCTGGGATGTCAGTATAACACAGGGTCATTTAACCAGAGGTTCTTCCTATGAATATAGCCCACTAAGAAGATACAAAGGGATAAAGGAAATAATGCAAACAGGTGAGTTACATTGTGATAGGACATGAGAGGACAGGGTAGATCAGGGCATAGAGAGATGACTGACATAAAAGACCTTTTGGAAAAGCCATATCAAAATCCACTACTCTAAAAGCTTACTAGAATATATACATATATAAAAATGTTCTAATGCAGTTACCTTACAACTAGAGGTGTACAAAACCACAAGTAGATATCTCATACTAGAAAGTGCAAAGCTTTGTAGCAGTAATACTTTACCTCCTTTGGTTTCTAGCCAGTGGGGTCCCCTAGACTGACTTCACTACCTTGCAGACTGTTGCTCATAACTTGTCTATTTTCCAGAGCTTCATGATAAGAACCTATTTCTGTATACATCAAAGCTTAAGTCAGAGAACATGGAGAAATCTAGGGGGTGCTCACCTGGGCACTTCATCCCTACTGACCAGCCGTCATGTATTGGAAGGTGCTATGCACACTGCGGAAGGAGAAAAGTACTGAGAAGCCAAGGAAAATGGCACTGAGTTTTGATTCTACTGCTTAGACTGGCCTTGTGGGAGCCTAGTCTGTTTGGATGCTCACCTTCCTAGACCCGGATGGAGGGGGGAGGACCTTGGACTTCCCACAGGGCAGAGAACCCTGACTGCTCTTTGGACTGGAGAGGGAGGGAGAGGGGGTGTAGGGGGAGTAAGAGGGAATGGAAAAAGGGGAGGAGGTGGAAATTTTTAATAAATAAATTTAAAAATTTTTTTAAAAGGATATATAAAAAAAATTTTAAAAATAGTACTCACCAGCCTCATCCTGTTCTGAACACTGCAACCTACAACAAACACTGGCTTGACAAGGCATGCACACTGGTGTGATAGTAGCACAAATGTATTGGAGCAACTGCCCACTTTCTGTTTGGATTTAAGGTTCTTCTTTAAGTCCATTCCTAGCACCGGTTAAAAAGAGAGAATGTGTAGCTAGATAGTACTACTGTTCCACTAGATGGACAAAGCAACACAGCAATAGGCAATGGCTTGTCGCTATACTCATATCAATATATCGCTCATTCCTCATCTGAGAAGCTTCTCCTCACTGTAGATTATTAGCAAAGAGACCTGCAAGTGACAACGGAGCAGTGAGGAGGAAACTAGTGTTTGCTTAGCATTACCTCACGTGGGAGATAGAAATGCTCTTCAGACTGGAGAGGGAGGGGGAGAGGAGTGGGGAGAGGGGGAGAGGAGTGGGGAGAGGGGGAGAGGAGTGGGGAGAGGGGGAGAGGAGTGGGGAGAGGAGGAGAGGAGAGTGGGGGGAGGGGGAGAGGAGTGGGGGGAGGAGGAGAGGAGTGGGGAGAGGGGGAGAGGAGCAGGGGGTGGGGGAGAGGAGCGGGGAGAGGGGGAGAGGAGTGGGGAGAGGGGGAGAGGAGCAGGGGGTGGGGGAGAGGAGCGGGGAGAGGGGGAGAGGAGTGGGGAGAGGGGGAGAGGAGTACGGGGTGGGGGAGAAGAGTGGGGGGAGGGGGAGAGGAATGGAAGGCTGGGAGGAGGCAGAAGTTTTTTCAATAAAAAAAAAGAAAAGAAAAAAAGAATTCTTTTGATTTTAACGAAGACAAAAACAAACATTTAGAAGAGTTGAGTACACAGCAACAGCTGAAAAAATCCCATGGCTTAACACTGAGTCAATTGCTACTCTCTGTAGCAGCCAAATTCATGGCAGATGCACTGCAACTGAAATGATTCTGTATAAAGTGCCCGCATTTGTATTCTATTGGCAGAATCAAATGCTTCCTCTTTCTCTTTTAGTTTGAGCCTATTTGTTATTGATAACATAGCTTATGCTAAGAAATTGACAATGATCCCTCCTGTTTACTGTTATCTGAAATCTCTTGAACAATAAAAAAGAAGTGAAAAATGATGGAGGAAGGTCATTGGCTAATAAAGGAACTGGCTTGGCCCATTTTATTGGTTGAAAGATAGGTGGGAGGAGTAGGCAGAACAGGACGCTGGGAGGAAGAGGAAGTGAGGTCAGTCTCTCGACAGCTCTCCTCTCGGGAGCAGACGCCTGAGAGAGACGCCATGCCCCGCTCCCGGGATGAAGCTCCGACCCAGGATGGACATAGGCTAGAATCTTCCTGGTAAGCGCACCTTGGGGTGCCATACACAGATGATTAGAAATGGGCTAAATTAATATGTGAGAATTAGCCTAGAAGAGAATGGGC